CCTTCTCACTCTTCCTTCTAATTCCTCAAGCAGAAACAAGCCCTATCCTGCTGCCTCTGTGCTGGGCATCAGCTGGCCCGGGAGGCTCCGTGCTCTCTGCTCAGTCTCAGTCACTACGGTTCACAGAGCTCCGATGCTTCTGGTCGATTTCCTCCCTGCCTATCCACTGCTCAGCACCAACCACCGGTCCAGAACCTTCCACTGGAGGCAGGAACCTGTCAGCTCCCCAGGCATCTGAGCTTTGAATTTAGAGCAGATTCTGAACACAGCAGCCAGGGAGACCCATGGGGAACTTCTCGCCAAGAACTTTAGGGTTTCCAGGCCCCAAACAACCCTGCTTTCAAAGCGACAAAGGTGTCCTCAAGAGCCTGTGGCAATATGAACCATCAGTCAACTCAGGCAATGAGAAGCCAAGCTCAGATAGCCTGAACACTGAGGAGAAGATGACTTCGGTCTCACTTCCCTGTGTGGGGGAAGGGCAAGGGGAAGGCCCCTTTCTCCCCCATGGGGATGTGACATGCTTGAATTAGGAAAAATGAAAATGCAAACTCCACAGCTGGCTCTTTCCCCAAGGAATCGAACCAAAGAACGGAAATGACAGACATGGTTCTGTGTGTGTTGGCAAGCCAGAACTGCTTTCAGCTGGCAAGTTTCATGAAAATTGCCTCCCACCTTGTGTACACACTCATGCCCAGGACCGTGTGAGCCGAGGCCTGCGCTCCTGACATCAGCACTGAGCTGCTCAACTGACCTGGGCGCGGCGAGTCCCAGGCCTGTTGGGTGCTCAGACTAAAGAGGACCCAGGAGGAGGGCCCAGCTGAGCCCTTGCCTCTGTACTGGCTGAATCCAGGTGCGGGACCTCCAATTAGACTTGGGAGGTCTCTGGCCCTGGCTCCCAGCTTAGGAGTCCACACTCGGAGTGCCTGATGGGGAGGGCCTTGGACCAGGGGTTCTGGGCTGCCCTAGGCTGCGTTCTGGTGTCTACTTTAGGAATTGCCTGCAAGGGCATTCCCCTGTGGTAGGGCCCAGGGTTCCAGGAAAGCCTAGGGCAGGGCAGGGCTCTTGGGGGAGGGCTGCTACTGCTTCCAGCATGGAGGCAGGGTGCAGACTGTCAAAGATCTGAGAAAAAAATGCCAATACACCGTTCCCAGAAACCAGGTAGGGAGGCTTGGCTCAAAGCACATGACCTTTCTGAAAATGCAAACTCCGGAAAACAAGACTCCTTCCACCATGGGGCTGTGAGTGTGGTGAGCATGTCGCCCTGGGCCCTGGAAAGGAGCGTCCAGGGAAAGCCTGGGACTCACGTGGCCCGGTTCGGCCCCTTTGGCCAAACGGTTTTCATGTTGCCAAAGCCAATAAAACCAAGCAACTGCTGTGATCTGTTTCCAGCTAATGATTAACCAGAACTAAATGGCCCTGAGGGACCCCCGGTGGCCACAGGGGACCAGACTCATGGCCTGCTGCCCAACCCCTGCCCTTTGTTGGGCCAGGTCAGGTGGCATCTCAGGAACGACTCCAATAGTAAACATCTCACACAGGCCTGGTGTTGGCGCTGCCGGAAGGATAGACTTTGGATGCGTGGCTGGGGTGTGTCTGTGTGTCCCAGTGGAAAACAGACATAAAAGTCCTCTCGAGTGGCTTCGGGGGGACTTTCCAAATGATCGTGCAGCCTCCTGTCCCTCCTAGGGGCAGACACGTAGCCCCCTGGGCCTGCTACCCTTGGTAGACCTGAGTAACTGAACCAGCTATCCCTGGCCAGCTCTCCAGAATATGGATACCCAATAGAGATAGTGATACTGTGGCCTCGGTGTGTGGGTGTGTAGTTGAGGCATGGTGTGGGGTAGTCACCAGACTGGGCAGGGGAGGGGCAGTGGAGGCTGCCTGGAGCTGGGGATCAGAAGTTGTGGCTGGTACAGTCTGACAATGCATGCAGAGGAGGGACGGGGCCTGTGTTGGGACTCCTGAGTCCAGAAGCAGCAAAGGCATGGGAGGTTAGACAGGGTGGGGAGGGCTCAAGTGTGTGAGCACTGAGCCCCAGCGATCCCGAATCTCTAGACCCCTCCTAGTCACCCCCTTGCTACTTCCTGCATTGGCCCCAGGGGCACAGGGTGAGGGGATGTCATGGTACCAACCCCTGGCCCTTCTCCCTGGAGGGCCTGAGGTCCTCATTGGTAAAGGCTTGGGACGAAGGCAGCTCCAGTGCCCAGAAAAGCCCCAGACTCCTGGTGGGCTGAAAGGCAGCCTGGCTTGGAGCAGGCAAAGAGGATGGGAAACTGTGGGTTTGCCTTAGGAAACCATGTGACTTGACGCCCCTGCAGGCCTAGTTGGGGCAGCCCTCTTGTCTAGGGGAGCTCCGTCGCAGCTTTCGGAGCATCTCTCATCCACCAGAAAGTTCCAAGTAGAGGGTGGGCACTGGTGCTAGTCCCCGCTCTGCCAGGCCTGGCTGCTTATGGGACCCAGGGCAGGTCCTGGCCCTTGGGGACAACCTCCTTGCCCTGATCTCTAGGATGAGGGTGCTGGGCTTGGTGATTGCTTGGGGTCCTTGAAGCGTGGAGTGGGGGTTGGGTTCTGAGTTCTAAACCAATCTGCTGCACTGTGATGATGGCAGGAGGTGGTTCTGGCGGGTGGCTTCCAGAAGTGGGCACGTCCTTGGTGTTGCCAGGTCCCCAGCCAGCATCTTCCTCCACGGCAGAGTCCTTTCTGGGATGCTGATGTTCAGCTGGGATGGGCCTCTTCAGAGGGCCCTGCCACCCACCTTCTGCTGGAGCACATAGTGTGCAAGGGACAGCTGCTCTCCTTCTGGCTATCCGCCACTTAGGGCCCCCATGGAATAGCTCGTGAACAGCAGGAGGGGTGGCGTCTCTCCCACTCTACTTACCCGGCACTGCCAGGCTCCGGAGGTGGGGAGGAGGGGGACAGATGGCCACGGAATGAAGGCAGGAAAGAAGTGCTAGGAGCCAAGGAAGAGAGGAGCAAGAGGCCGCCCCAGGGAGGAAGTAGGAGGAATCCAGAGGGAGAAGAGACAGCAGGCCCCACTGAGGCTGGGCTGGACCTGGAGAGGGACAAGGAGCTGGTCCTGGGGTGGGATGAGGCCAGAGCTGTGGAGAAGGCTTGAGGAACGCATGGAGCGGGGCCGTGGTGGCTGCCTTCCCCTTAACTCAACAAATGGGCAGATGGACAGACAGACAGGAAGCACAGAGAGAGATGGCAAAGAGACATACGGAGGAAGTCAAGGGGGAGGGAGGCTGAGGCACAGCCATGCCCCTTGTTGCCCCTCAGCTCCCAGGAAGGAAGGTGCTGGGAGGCCACGAACCATTTTTGGCCTTAACTGACTTGGCAGAGCCTCCTGTCGGCCTCTCTGGGTGGAGTGACGGCGAGGCCCCTCTGGGCCCACGTCTAGGGCACTGGAGGCACCGGCTGCTTTTCAGCCCAACCGCCACAGTGTTGGCCAATATTTGTGACCAGGGTAGGTGGCACCATGATGAGTGTGGAGCAAGCTGGAGGTGTGCGTGGCCTGTGGTTTGGAGAAGAAGTGTGTGAGAGTGTGTGTGTGTGTGTGTGTGTGCACGCGCACGCGTGTGTGTGTGAGCACACGTGCTCTGTTCCCAACGGGGACAGGATGGCCCTCCTCCCTTCCTTAAAGGACAGAGTGGCCCAAAACGACAGCTTATTCAAGAGGAGGGGTGACCCCCACCAGGGACCTCTCACCAGTTCCTAAAAAAAAAAAAAAAGACAGGAAAAGAAAAGAAATCAAGCTGGAAGAGTCTGTGATGGAAAAAGGCATGGTTAAGGACTCCCATCTGCAGGGGAGTGGCGTGTTCATGTTGGCAGAGGGGAGCACTTCGGGGGCTTGCTAGAAGGAAAGGAAAGAGGTAGCACAGAACCATCCTGACAAGGGCTCTGGGCCCACGCGTGAAGGTTTACTATTTGGTGTATAAACTCTCTTGAGTTTGTTGGAGAAAGCAGGCTGCCTGGCTGGAGCCACTGGGTTCCCTGCATTCTCTCCCATCGGGGTGGTGGGGTCAGCAATAGAGTGGCTTTCCCTTTGTCTTTGTAAAAAGATGTGAGCAATTATGGAAGTTTCTACCTCCTTAGGATAGCCCCTGAGTTCTCTTTAAACTGTGACCAACATGGTAGGAACTTTTTGTGGCAACATCTTGAAGAAAAGTGGTTTCTCTCAGCTTCTCAGAGGAAGGAGGGGAGAGAGTGTGGGTTAAGGATCAGGTTAAGGCCTGATCCTGAGGCTCGTTTGGAAAGAGTGAAGGCGCTTCAGGAACACCTGGCCACATACCCGGCCTCTGAGCGCCAGTTCTGGGGACACCTCTAACACCCAGTGGCTTGGGGCAAGGCCTACAGGGCAGGCGCCACCTGTGCAGTAGTGACTGGCCAGCACTGAGCCCACCTGGGGACAGGCGACAGCAGCATCCTTAGGAAACCACTTTAAGGAGGATGCTGGAAGCGCCGCTCCAGTTCCTGGGTACGCTGGCTGGATTCTTCTGCGGCAAACAGTGTGGGAAAGGCACCCACCACCCCTCCAGCCCCGGAAAGGCGGCCCTGAGCCCGCGCGCTGCCCTGACGTTGCACCACTAAACACTGAGCAAGGCCCCAGCCTGACACCAGACACCCCCAGAAGTGGCCCAAGTTCATGAAGAACCATCGGCAAAGGCAGACAAGTTCAAGAAAAGAGAACCAATGGCACAAGGAGCACTAAACATAAACCCAAAAACCAAACAAAGCAAAGAACGGGAGGTCCGGAAGTGCCATGGGTTGAATACGTTTCATAAAAGAATATGGCTTTCGAGAGACACCGTCTGGGCGGGAAGGACTGGACAGGGCAGTAAAGAACAGAAAAGCCACGGTGAGCGGAATGCAAGACTGGAAAAGAGAGAAGGCCGAGCTGGGGAGGCTTATTCTTCCCCAGAGATGCCATTTATGAGAGAAAAGGGAAGTCAAGACTCACTCCCAGCAGCACTGGTGGGATTGGCAGCAGAGAGAATTGCGTGAGTAGGGGTAGAAAGATTGGTTACGTCATGAAGCTGGCTGAGGACCGAAGACCGCCGGCGCACAGCACCCTGAACTGAACCGCTTCTCTTGAAGGTACTCACTACCTCCATCTGTGGGAGAGAAAATGAGATAAAGTTTGGCTTGCACTGTTGTCCAGGCTATCGCGGAGGGGAGGGCTGGGCAAGGATAGGGGCCACCACTGGGCACATAGGGTGACAGCAAAGCCTCACCAGGTCACCCTGCTCACTGGGAGCTGGCAATGTTTGGACAGGGCCCTGACTGATGCCAGCCTCTGTGCCACCCACCAAGAGAGGGTTTGCTGAGCAGATGGTTAGTGGTCATGAGATTGGGAAGGGAAGGGGGTCACAAGTCAGGGCACACTGCAAACATGTCAGAAATGCCCCTTGCAAGCCACTTGTCAGGAAGTACTTCATAGTTCTCAACCTTTTTTTTCCCTCCCCAACACACCTGAGGGACATGACAGGCTCCTATTAGAATCCGCCCTGCTTCCTCTAAACCCGGAGGACTTGTGCCCCATGCTGTGTCTGCCTGCCCATCTCCGCCAGCTTCTGTGGCTCATCCGAGTGACTGGGCGGGGAGCGCCCCCTCGAAACCTCAGCAGAATTACAGACCTAGCGGAGGAGGGGATTCTCCCACCGACTGGCAGCCATGGCTTCGCTTTGTCCCCACTCTTACAGCTTCCTACAAGTTGAAGGGGAAGCGAGGCTGGGGAAACTGAGGCCTGCAGGAGGGCCTTGACCCAGTGTCTTTGGATTTCCTGACCTGCCGTTGGCTGGCATGGGGACTCATGTCCATCTTGCTGGAGATGATGTGAAGAGCAAAGCCAGTGTGCGTATCTGGAGCCCAAAGCTACCTGCTCCAGCCCGAGCCCTGCAGTGCTATGTGGTGGCCACCAGGTTCACCTGGGTGTCTTGACACGGGCCAGGGCTTCATGGAAGAAGGCAGCTTGAGTGTTCAGACTCCCCCTGCACCAGCCAAAATGAGGATGTACGCCAGTTCAACCCTTGACACGCTGTGGAAAGGACTCCTCCTTCTCAGCCTGCCTAGTCCCCTTCTGCCCAGCACATCCCACTCACTCGCTTGTCACAAGGGGTACCTCGTGGCACTGGCTGCGACCGTGAGGAACGCATATTGAGTATATCAGCGCACGGAAGGAGGATGGTTGATGTGATGGCGTCGTGGTGGCTTGCAGGGGGATCTCCTGTCTAGATTCAGGAGAGGACTCTTGCTGCGGCAAAAGTGATGAGGGGTAGGAAAGATGCCTTTCCTGCCTCGGATTTGCATTGGTCTGGCCTGGCTACAGACGGTGTCCCAGTGGGAGAGCCCCATCAGTGACAATACCACAGTCGCCACCACCCCATACCTGGAAGCCCAAGAGCTGAGCCAGGAGCAAGGCCCAGTCGCTAATGAAGCTTCTTTTTGGGTTATTATGGGATGCAAAAAAGACAGACCGAGTCATGAGCGCTTCAAAAAGCTACATGCTCTGGGTTTGAAGGACTCTTTTATTCTGGAATGACACCCTGTCCATCCGGTGCGTTGATATGTTAGTATGGAACCATGGTGCGAGCAGGTTACAAAATCCCTTCACTTAGCAACAGAAAAGCATGTGCCGGCCTCCAAAATCTGGGGAGCGATTTTTGTGGTTCCCAAAACACAGAAACCTGGGGCCAGCTGCCTAGGAAATGTTTTTCTTGGCTTGGGGCATACGCACAACCTGACGGGCTTCTCCCAAGCTTTACCTCCATTTTTCAAGCAGGTATTTCGAATCAAAGAGAGCAGATGCTCTTACATAGCTGGCTAAAAGAACCGACTGGTTCAGCATTCCTGAGAAACATGGTGAGTTGGATGTGACAAAGTCAAAGCGAAAAACCATGGGGGTCAGGAACCCATGAAAGAGTCAGACCGGCTGTGCCGAGGGGAAGGAGTGCACCCTGTTTCCTCATAGGTAAAGCAGGGGGCTCACCAGCCCGTGTCTCTGTGAGCACTGACAATTGAAACAGCCTGGAACTCTAAGACTCTAACCGATGGGACCCGCTTCTACTAGCCAGGCTGCAGTGGCCCCCACATACAGAGGACGGGAGACACACAGGTGGTCAGTGTACCACTGACACCACTGATGCTTCAGGTCAGGGCAGGGCTGTTGTCTCAGCTGCTCGAAAAGCTAACGTTGCCTTTGGCTGCAGCGGCAGGAGTGAAGTGGGCCGCCGAAGGGCAAGGTCCTGCTGTCCTCACCCCCAAACCCAGGCTTGGGCAGCTCTGGGCTCTGGGCTCTGTAGCACAACAGCCCATCTGGGGGCAGCTGGGGGGCTCATAGGCATGGTCTCGTAGAAGGCACAGTTGGGCCTCTAGCAGGGCACTGGGGCAGATGTGAGTGCTGCTTCTAACATTTGATGTGTTTAAGATTTAGCACAGAAATATATTGCAGGGATTGAGAAGAGACTATCTGTGCTGCACCCCTGGCCTGTCCAGGCATTGTGCTTGAGGCATTAGCCCCTGCACACGGGAGGGGAGACACAGGCCATCTGGCGACAAAGCCTGCTCCCCTTCCTCACTGGGGCTCTCTGTGTTCTGACCAGGCCAGGCCATAGGTAACAGTGTTCGGAGTCCAGACCTAAGACACCCTTCCCAGGCTACGCTGTGTTGGGTGCCTAGGATGCCAGCCTCATCTCCCAGTTCTCAGTTGGAGAGGCCCCTTGGACTCCTTGGGGGCTCTTTAAATGTGGAGTTCTTTGGTGCCCCTTGACCTAACCTTGCATGATCGTGGTCTCTGGGGACTCTGTAGCTCTGGAAAGTTTTGCAAGGAGCCCGTGTGAGTGAGAGGAGTCGGAGAGGGCTTCGTAAGCATGAGGGCCTCAGGGGATGCAGCGGGAGTTGGGGAGGTGCAGTGGCACAGGCGGGCAGAGGGCATGATTGGAAAGGCAGCCGGGGGTGCAAGGGTGCAGGAAGGTTGGGGTGACACCAAGAGGCAGAGGCTTGAAGGTCATGGTCAGGAGCGTGGACTTCATCCTTAGGACAATGGAGAGAGGCTCCACCAGTCCCACTGCAGAGGGCGGCGTTGGAGGGGCTGAACTGAGCCAAGGCAAGCAAAGGAGGCTGAGGCCCGGGGAGTGGGGCTGCCCTGAGGCTGGGTCCCTTGAGACTAGGCCCTTGAGATCACTGGGAGGGAATACAGGACCCAGGGCACCGAGAACAGCTTTGTGCAAATTGCATGGATGATTCCTTGGGACAAGCCCTTGGTGATGTGTGACAGACCCTGGGAAGGGGTGTGGCCTCAGTCCCCGCCTATTTCAGCTTGAGCTGGGGCTGGTGGCTTAGGCGGGCCCTGGCTCCGCAGCCAAGTGTGCAGTGGTGTCCTTACTCTGGCAGGACCTCAGGGAGGAGAATCAGTCGCTCCATGTCAGGGGCATTGCAACTGGGGATCCTGGACAGGGCCTGGAGGGGCAGGGAGTGATGGCTGTGACCTGAGAGACGGTGGCCCAGGCCTTGCAGAAGGAGGTGGAGTGTGAAGCATGCTGGGTGGCCCTCTGGAGGCTGCTGGGGGAGGGGCAGGCCATGAAGGAGAGGCTGCAGGGGCTGCAGTGGGAGAGGGGCCAGGAAGCAGGTGGGGTCCCCATGGGCTCTTTCTTCCTCCCGGGCCAGGATTTTCAGCACTCAAGGGCCACAGCAGGGTGGGGCGAGGGCTGAGCAGGAGGTGGGGGTGCCAGGCGGGTGAGGACAGCAAGTCTCCAGGCAGTGCCCACAGCAGGCAGGAACGATGCAGGGATAGCCCGACCCCAGGAGCCGGAAGGGAGCCTTGTAGACCTAGGCGAGCGCCGTTTCTGGGGAGTGGTGGGCAGAGGCCAGGCTGTAGTGGGATCACAAGAGAGTTCCAGGGAGGGGTGTGGAGACACAGCGAGTCTGGAGCATTCTGGCAAAAATGTTGGCCGGGAGGAGATGGGAACAAGGGAGCAGGGTAGCTCTGACTTCAGAGAGGAACACAGCTGACACCCTTGGTCTTGGCCAGCCCTAACCCTTGGTGATTTGGATGAGCAGAAAGGACCAACTCGGTGGCCAGAGTCCACTTCCCAAATGAAGTCTCCCCATCGCATTTACAGTGTCATCCAGTGAACCTTGAGCTCACTGGTGGCTGTTTGAAATGGGCCTGTCTTCCCGAGAATGTCACTTGCCTATGACCTGGGGCCGTTCCCGCCAAGTAAAGGGAGCCCCAGCAGTGATGAAGACAGTGCTGGCCTGTGCCTCTGAGAGAGCCATTAGTCACCCACACACACCTTTAGCTATGGGGGATGCCTGGGCTCTGAAGGAGGTGTCAGGGAGAGGCAACCTCAGTGCCACAGCCATCAGTGGACACACCCCGGAATGGCAAAGGGGACACTGGCAGCTATTTTTGTGACCTTGGCAGCAAGACCAGAGGGTTTCCCTGTGGGTGTTGGGTGCAGACGGCCAGCTCTCGGCCGCTGATGGCCAGCTTGCCTCTACCCTCTTGGGGTGGAAGTGCCAGGGCGACAGCAAGGCGGGGCTTACCTGCGTCTGAATCCGGTTCAGGCCCCGGAACCAGAGGATCTGGCCCCTGCGGAGCTCCCGCTCGGCGTGGTCGATCTCTTCCTCGCCTTCGGCCAGCTCCTCGTCGGTCATCTCGTCCTTCCCGGGCCCATGCCCAGCTTCCTTCAGGCACTTGAGCTGACTGGTGGGGATGGTGGCAATGACCTGGGAGAGCCACACGGAAGTGGCCGTGAGAGCCGGGCTGAGCAACATCTGCCTGGCATAAAGTCCCCCTCCAGAGGGAGACGCCGGCCTCCTTCCTCCAAAGGATGTCATTTTTTTGTGTGTGTGACTAAGCAAAGGGAGTAAAGCTAGAGCAGCCCCCCGGGAACTGGCAGCCCCTGGAGAACCAGTGGAGTGTTCCCTCGGGGGGCTGAGATGCATTATCAGGAGTATGTGGAGCTCTGGGCCTTCCCCTCCTCCATGGAGTTCCATATAGCCAAAGGGCCCGGGGAGTGGCCCGAGTGGAGCACTGTGCAGCAAGGGCTCCTAGGAGGGATCGCTAAGCCCCTGGAACATCCTGCCTGACAGCAGCATGGCTCACCGGGGCTGGGGGCTCGGGACCGTGCCCCATAGTCTACACTAACAGCTGGACCTCCAGAGGGCTGGAGACGGAGGTCAGCCATGTGACCACGGCATGGCTCTGCGAACCACCCCAAGAAAAGCTCTGGACACTGGGGCCCGGGTGAGCTGCCCTGGTTGACAATACTCCCTGCATGTCGCTCCACACCGTTGCTGGGAGACACAGGTGCTGTTTGCGCAGCTCCCCTGGGAGAGGACAGCTGGAGCTCTGGCCTAGTCTCTCCTGGAGAGGGCATCTCCTGGGGGAAGACCAGCCTAGAGAAGACCTGTGCATTGGGGGCTAGGGAGGGTGGGACGTGACAAGGAGGGTGACAGCTGGAAAGGGTGACCGGATAAGGAGCCTGGCAGGAGTGAAGAGAGGGCATGGCTTTGCGTATTGCAGGCCACTGGGAAGTTGGGGGAACAGTATAGAAGGACGCAGGGGAAGCCACAGAAAGGGATGATGGGCATCTGGAGTTCTAGAACAAGATGTCTCGTCTGTCTTGTGTGTCTATGCCAGTGTCTTTGTCGAATGTGGCCAGGAGGGGACTTGAGGACTGGTTCACAGAGATTCCCTTCTATTCGTTTTTCACTTGAACATGTTTTATCTTTGTAACTGAACAAGGTTAAAAATGAAAAGGACAGCCCAGTAGCCCTGAGAGGCCAAGCTACAGGCTGGCACCACGTTCCTGGCGGGGGGACCAGAAGACCAGTGGCCTGGGAGCTTGAAGAGCAAGAAGAGGGCCTGGCACCCCTCTGGGCTGTGGTTAGAGTCCAGGTTTTGGGAAGTGAAGGGACTCCATGGAGCAACCAGGTTCAAGCGTGATTGGGAGGTGAGGTGCAGTAGCAGAGGGAAAGGAGAATTCTGAGAATTCTGAACATGAAACAGAGGAACTGGGTGGGCTGTCCCCGAGGACACTAATGCTGGGGCAGATCACTTGAGGTCAGGAGTTCAAGACCAGCCTGGCCAACATGGCAAAACACATCTTTACAAAAAATACAAAAATTAACCTGGTGTGGTGACATGTGCCTGTGGTCCCAGCTGCTTGGGAGGCTGAGGTAGGAGGATCACTTGAGCCTGGGAGTTCAAAGCTACAGTGCGCTGTGATCATACCACTGCACTCCACCCTGGGCAACAGAACAAGACCCTATCTCAAAAAAAAAAAAAAAAAAAGAAACAAAGCCAGAATGCTATGGACTGAACTATGCTCTCCAGTTCATGTGTTGAAGTCCTAGTGCCCAGCGTGGCTGGATTTGGAGTAAGGAAGTGATCAAGGTTAAATGAGGTCACCAAGGTGGGGCCCTGATCCTACTGGATTAATGCTCCTAGGAGAGGAGACACTAGAGACCTTGCTCCCTCTGTCTACCATGTGAGCACAGAGTGGGGAGGCGGCTGTCTGCAAGCCAGGAAGGAGCCCTCACCAAGGAACTGGCCCCGCTGGCTCCTTGGCCTCGGATGTCCAGCCTCCGGGACTTTGAGAAAGTAAGTGTCTGTTGTCTAAGCCTCCCAGTCTGTGATATTTTGCTATGGCAGTCGGAGCGGATGAAGACAGATAAGCGGATCCTGAATACCCAGGCTGTTTCTTCCTGATCTAATTGTGGGGTCCTAGACACTTCCCGGTGTGCAGCTTCAGCTGCAGCCCACAGAACTCTATGTGGGGCTCTCTGTCCTTTCCATCAGGTCAAAATATTTCCTAATTTCTCTGGAGACTTTCCTTTCACCCCATGGATTATTGATCAGGGTGCCGTTTGATTGATTTAAAATATGTGGGGATTTCCCAAACTACCTACCCATTTTGAAGGGGCAATTTTTGGCTCTTATCATAGAAAGGGGAGCTGTGGGCAGTTTTCCTGGGCCCTGTCATATCCCAGCCATGTTCCTTTGCATTATTTTGCTGACACCTTCCCTTGTGGCCTGTCCCTGGGTCCTGATGTGTCACAGGCCTGAGTCCGCAGTGTGCTTCCTGGGGTGTGGACCCCAAGACTCTGAAGCAGGGTTAGGGCAAGTGGGCCCATCACAGAAGCTGTCTGCAGGGCAGTCTGGAATGAGGGGCAGGGCTGTCACTCACCTGTCCCCAGACCAGCTCCCCAACACCAACAAACAGGCACCAGAGCCACTGTTCCGTGGATAGTGGGGAGCAGCTGAAGGGCTTCCCGCCGAACTGGACAATGACAATCTGTAAAGGGCAAGTGGGAGAGAGGCAGGTCCAGCTGCGGCTCCTGAGCCACCCTTGTTCTCCAGCCCCTTGAAGGCCCAGCCACCCTGGTCGGTTCGCCCAGGTGCATAGGCTGCTCCCTGCGAGAGAACCACAAGGCCGGGGGTGCCATGACAGAGCAGCACATGGCCTCCACCGCCCCTGGGTGCCAGGCACCTACTGACTCCAGCCTCGGAATCGGGCCCAGCTCCACTGACCATGCTCCTATTTTCAGCAAGACAGGCTGTGACACCCACACTGTGGGCACACTGGATACGCCTCATTCTGGAGGACCCTAGAACCTGCTGGGGTCACCTTGCCTTGGCCTCCTGCCTCCTCAGGAGGCATTCAATTCCCAGAGGCGAGCTTTCCAAATGTAAACTGACCCTGTCCTCTGTTGGACTGTCACAGTCCCGGCCACTATCCCCTTGTGCTCATTACCCAAGACCAGGTACCAGACAGCCAGGGAGCACCCCTATGCCCTAGAACTGCTTCAATGATGCAACCTAGCCAGTCCTGAGCCTACCAGCCCTGCCTCACCCGCTCCTCCCCGAGGGAACCACAGCAAAGGCTCTTGTCCCCAGCTCTCACACCCTGCCTCCTGCTTGGTACTCTCCCATGTGGGCTCCTATGGTGTGGCATGTGCTCTCCTCTTGGGATCTGTGAGTCATAAACTGTCTTTCAATAGCAACTGTCTCCTGACCTGTTGGACTTACTATAGCTCATTTTTTCTACAAATACACTATATTTTAGGACACTTAGCCCCTCCTCGACAGTGGGGCTGACCAGCCTGTCCACAGCACTGTGTTAAGCAGAGGTTAGTGTGTCAACACTGGGCACAGAGGGCATCTCCAAAAGAAACTTCTGGAGCTATGGCAGCCTCATGCCAAGGAATTAAGTGCTAGAAATGGGAACGGCAGACCTAGAGGGAGCCAGGGAGGACTCCTTTCAGCATCTGTGAGAAAACTTAGTTCTGATGAAGGCTCACGAAACCCTTCTGGAAGCCAGCGCGCTAACCCAGGGCAAGGCCAGCAATGTTTGGAAGATGAAGGCCCGCTCCGACATGCAGAGAGGACAGGGGGCTACAAGAAAGCCAGGTGGGGTGGGGCTCCTTCTGGGAGTGGAGGTGGGGAGGCCAGTACTAGGGGTGGACATGAGGCCTTGAAGCCCACCACCTCCACCTTTTGCAAGTGGCAGATGCCAAGAGTAGAGCCGCCCCTCCTACCTGAATCCCGAAAGTGCCCAAAACGATGGTGCAGAAGATGGGGTTGCTGAAGATGCCGTCGAACACGTTCCTCTCGCCATGGATCTTGCGGGCATTGATCTCGTTGAAGAGCTGCATCATGACGAAGGTGTTGAAGATGATGGTGTAGTGCTCTGAGGGTGGCGAGTGCAAGGGCGCGTTCCTCCCGCTGTCGATGTCAAAGAAGAGCTCCCCTGGAAAGCAACATTCCCCACTCAGGCAGTCACCTCAGTGCATGACTCAGGATCGAGACTGCCATGTGTAGCTCCCGAGATGGGTCCCTTGTCTCAGGGGACGGCCACTTCCAGCTCACAGCCAAGGCCCAAGGCAGCCACACCTACCCCAGGCTCAACCAACCAGAGTCCTGAGACCCCACTGGGCCAGGGGCCAGACCCTGAGCCTGAGGGCAGGAAGGAAGAGGTTAAGAAGGGATGTTCTTAATGCTGGCTATCCTCAGATGCCCTCCTTCTCTTCCTCTCGCTTGCAAGCCCCCCTCCCTCACAGCTTCCAGCGCGACACCCCAGTCACTCCGCAGGAGCAATCTTCACAGGGTAAATGTGGGCTGTTCTGTTCCTAGGGTTACCGTGGCCACTCTGAGGCTGGGTAGAGGCTGCCTACTCTACACAGCCGTCGGCAGGATGTTAAGACATGAACTGTTTCTCAGCTGCTCAGGGGCCTGGGAGGAGAGGCTGAGAAAGAGCTATAGGCTACCAGCAGGCCTGGCTGCAGGGTTACTAGCCTGGCCCATCTGCTCCTTCCCCTGTGTGCCTTCCAGTCAAGAACTGCAGCGTCTCACCCCGTACTGGGCCCGGAGACACAAGTGGAGACACACCAGACAGAATCTGAGCCCGAGGTGGTGGCGACAGTGTCCCGAAGGCCTCCCGTGTGCCCCTGGCCAGCCTACCGACAAACAGTAGGGTGAAGATGATGGCGAGCTGGTACACGGCATGGCCCAGAATGTTCTTCATCATGGTGCGGGAGATGAGGGGCTTGTCACGGCCGTACGGCTTCCGCAGCAGCAGCGACTCCGTGGGTGGCTCCGTCGCCAGGGCCAGAGAGGCAAACGTGTCCATGATCAAGTTCACCCATAACATCTGCACGGCTTTGAGAGGAGAGTCCTACGGAGAGGAGGCAGTCACCTTTCCATGGGCCGCCTGCCCGGGAAGGTTGGGGGTGGAAACGCAGTAGCTCCTGGGGGCTCCTCATGGGGTCCACATCACCAGGATTTCATGCCCATGAAAACAGACATCTCCATCCCTACATTGCCTTTACGCTAGCAGGGCGTTTTCTTTGGGCTGTCATGTGCCCGCCTCCCTTCTCTCACCTGGCAGCAGGTGTGCTCCAAATCCCTCGCAGGAGGTGAAAAACCCCAGACCACAAAACAGCCCGACGATGGGGTCTGCCACTGGGGGCAACAGAGTGAGGGCTGCTCTCCTTGTCTCCTGCACCTCAGGGGCAGGAGGAGGCAGAAACTCTGAACTGGACCTTCCTTCTCAGCTCCTCTGAGTTGTTGGTTAAAAATCAGCCTCACAGAAGCCAGACACACAAGGCCACGTACTGTCTGATTCCATTCATAGGAAACTTCCAGAACTGACAAATCCATAGAGAGAGAAAGCAGATGAGTGGGTGCCAGGGGCTGGGGTTCAGGGAGTAGAGAGTGACTGCTCACGGGGTTTGGGTGTCCTTTTGGGGTGGTGATGAGAGTGTTCTGGGAATAGACAGTGGCAATGGTTGCTCGACATTATGGAGGAATATAAACCTCTGAGTTAGGTACTTTCATAAGGTTCAAATGGTTCTGGTGAAGTTTGTTAGGTGATTTTTATCTCAATTAAAAAAATTTTTTGAAAAGACCAAGTTGATCAGCAGGCAATTTAAATCCCTGTCAGCAACAAATAGGTATTTATTTGCCCCCCTCTTTCTAAGGGGGGGGGGCGAAGAAAATCTGGACACTCACCAATGGGGAAAATGGGACTATTGAGAAAGGGTTCCCATGGGATGCACAGCCCATGCAGAAACTCATACACAGATGCTCCTGGCAGCACCATTCACAGGAGCCAAAAACTGGGAACAAGCCATGTGTCCATCAGGACAGACGTACATAATGTGGCAATCTGTGCCATGGAGTGTTATGAAGCCATGAAAAGGCAGAAGGTCCTGCCCTCTGTGTGTGTGAGCCTGAAAACGCGGTGCTAAGCGAGATGCCAGACACAAGAGGCCACATATGATTTGATCCCACAGGAATTAAACGTTCGGAACAGGCAAATCCATAGACCCAGGAAGCCCATGAGTGGTTGCTGGGGGCTGGGATGTTTGGGGGAGAAATGGGGAGATGACTGCTCAAGAGCACAGGGTTTCTTTTTAAGATGATGACAGTCTTCTGGAACTAGATAGAGCCGATGGTTGCACAACATGGTGAATGTTCTCAAAATTTGAGTGCTGAATTGTATACTTGAAAATGGTGAATTTTTGGCATGTGAATTTGATGTCAACTAAAATAATCTGCAGCAAAGAAAACAAAACCCTCACTCTCACAATCTGGCCCTCAGGCCTGAGCCCAGGTGTCCTACAGCGGGGGCGTGGCAGCCCCCAGTACCCACCTGAGTAATGCAGGCGCCTGTGAAGGCCACGATCACGGCCACCACATTGACCGTCAGTTGAAACTGCAGGAACTTGGAGATGCTGTCATAGACGTTACGGCCCCACATGACGGCCTTGACGATGCTGGTGAAGTTGTCATCGGTCAGGATGATGTCGGAGGCCTCCTTGGCCACGTCGGTCCCTGCGATGCCCTGCAGGGTGACACACACTCACACACACAGAGTGTTTGTGGGGGCCCCTTCCCCAGACCCCCCGATCACCTGGCCTACCTGGGCTGACTCCCTGCCCTCCCCTTCTGAATAACATCCCACCCCGCCCCCCAAAGCCAAGAACAGCATTGTTTTTGTTGTTGTTGTTGTTTTTATGCAACACATTCTAGTACTATGAACAGTAAGTTGTCACATGTCACAGTGAGGGGGGCTTTGCTCATAAACACATAAAGCCCAGCTGCCACCACGTGGCCACCAAGCAGTGTGGTCTGTTCTTAGCACTCCAGAGACGCTTGCTGGCTAAGGAGCCGTGGGAAGTCCTACATGAGGACACCCTGGGCGGGTGGGTCTTTGCCCATGCAGGCGCAGCTGCAGCTGTGCCAAGCTGCTCAGCCCTCTCCTCTGCCCCAAGCCTGGCCCTGTGACAGCTGCCACCTCTTGAAGCTTGGGCTGGAGCTCCCTTCTGGGCTACAGGCGCTGGGAAGGACTGGGCTGGGTTCCCCGGGCGGCGCTCCTTTTCGGTAGGGCAGGGAGAGGCGCTCGCCAGGTTGCTGCGTTCAGCGGCTGTTTTCAGTGGCTGTGGGGCTGCAACCTGCCATGCGGGTGGTGTCTGCAGGGCCGCCCTACTCAGTGGGTGAGCAACAGGAAGGAAGTGCAGAGGAAGAGCACATCTGGGGACTCTGCTTACCTCATCTGGGGATGACAGTCCATTTAGAGAGGACTGGGGGTGGGCAATGCCATCAGTGATGAGCCCCTGCCCCCCATTCCCCTTCTTCTCCACAGTATGTCTGGGGCCCACTGTCACCTTGGGCATCACAGCAGATGCCTTTAACCACATGTCCCCTGACTGGCCAAGCCCACGCCGGCCCAAGTGGCCAGGATGTGAGAGAAAGAACCTTCAGGCACTCTGTAACCTGCCCCAACACTGGCTCCCACTTCCTGGTACAAAGCTAATGTCCATGGGACAGACGCTGGCCCCATCTGCCATGGTGAGTTGGGCTGGCACCAGGTGGCTTACCATGGCGAAGCCTACGTCCGCCTTCTTGAGGGCCGGCCCATCGTTGGTGCCATCCCCTGTCACAGCCACCACCTGCCGCTGCTCGCCAGTGGTGCTGTCGATAATCCCTGCAAGACAAATCAGGGCAGGGCAGGGCTGGGGCCATCTGTCACCACAACCCTCTGTAGCCCAGGGAGCTATGGGGGTAGGTTGGCTGTGAAAACCCTTCAGGATTGCCCCGTCCTGACTGTCCCAGTCATCTGTGCTCCCTGTCACCTGGATCATCTCCTACCCCCAAATAAGTAAGCAAGTCTCACTGAGTGACAGGGTGGGAGGGTAGGGATCTGCTTAGGGCCTGGGGACACGACCCTGGGTCCCTGGCTCTAGACCCACTGCTTCTAGAGACTCCCTGTGTGACCTGGAGTGAGTCACTGGCCCTCCCCGAACCCCAGTTCCCTCATGGGCCCCTGCCCTGCTGCTCTGGGCTAATGGGACAAATGGACCCAGCTTCCTAGGCAGGCCCTGGGGACCTGTTTGGGAACCTGGCTTTTGGTGTCAGGAAGCAGACAACCTCAGGTTGGCCACCCCAGGAAAGGGGTGTGGGACCTCGGCTACCTTTGACCAGCGTGTGCTTGTCGGTGGGAGACGACCGGGCCAGCACCCTCAGCTTGGGCCACACCTTGTCCAGCCGCTCCTGTTCTATCTGGGGAGGGGAAGCACAAGGACGCTGCAGAGCTAGGGCGGGCACACAGGGGGCTGGGGGGAGGAGAGGAGGGTCTGGGGTGGCAGACAGCTGGGTGCTACCTCGCCTTTCTCGTTGCGGATCCGTCGGTTGAACTCCTTCCCTTCCAGGCACAGGAAGTCCTCCCCGGGCTGGATGATGCCACATTTGGCTGCGATGGCCCGGGCCGTGTTGATGTTGTCTCCAGTCACCATGCGGACTGTGATGCCAGCACGCTGGCATTTTCGGATAGCTTCAGGGACCTAGAAGAGATAAGAGAGGTGGGTGGGGTCATCGAGGCAAGACGTATTTTGGGTTGAAGCAGTACCCCTTCCTCCATCAGATCTGCGGCCAGCCCAAAGTCCAGCAGAGATGACAGTAAAGCCAAACCATGGGTCCCCATGCAGGGCCCCTGTGGAGGCATGGGCCCAGAGGAGGCCCAGAGGGTGGCAGGGCTGTCCCGCCCCAGCCAAGCCGCAATGAGCAGGCGCTTGCCTCCTTCACTGTGTCAGGCCCTGGGAGTGCCAGGCCCTGGGGACCAGTGACGACACAGATCCAGGCCCTGATGGCAGAAGCATGGCAGGGAAAAGTCACTGGAAGCTTTACGCTGTTCAGGGGCACCATCAGACTCACGTCTGGAAAGGTCACCTGGGTGACCATAGAAATCACCCAGCTCTGTCAACCTCATTTTCCAGCTGGAAAACAGACACGGGGCTGCTGAGCCAGGGTCAGCCTGGGTTACAGACAGGCTGGCAGGGGACATAGCTCTAAAGAAGAAGGAGGAGGGGGCCTCGCACCCTCAGCCACCTTGAGGGCTCCCAGGTAGCCAGAGGGTCCACCACGGCTAGGGTGGGCACCTGGACTCCTCTCTCACTTGCCTCTGTAGCTTATTATGATATTTTAAAACAATATAAAACCTAAGACATTTTTCTCAGGAGTTAATCTTTTTCCTAGTGTAGTTTTGCAGGACAACATATCTCTCTCCTCTCCAGGGGAAGCAGAACATAGCTTTGGTTGTGTAGTGCACATTTCCTTTTTCAAACACAGATGCTCCTCAATTTACAATGGGGTTAGGTCCCGATAAACCCATGATAAGTTGAAAATACCATAAGTCAGAGATGGCTTAGCTCAGCTCACCTTACACGTGCTCAGAACACTTACATTAGCCTACAGTTGGGCAAAAGCATTGAACACAAAGCCTACTGTGGAATACAGTGCTGATTATCTCATGTAACTCACTGAACATTGCACTGAAAGGGAAAAACAGAATGGTTGTATGGGACTCGAAGTAAAGTTTCTGCTGAATGCGCATCGCCTTTGCACCAAGTTAAAAATTTGTTAAAAGTTGGGGGCTACCTGCATCATATTAGATTCTGGAGAAAGAGAAAGAGGTTCCCCAGTGCTGAGTGGAAAGCACTGCACAGGGTTGAGAGCGGGAAGCCAGGAGACCGGCCGGGAGGTGGTGGCATTGTCCCAGTGGTGGGGGGACAGGGAGTTGCTCTTCAGGCTCAGAGACAGAGAGACAGGGTCAGGCAGCTGATGCCACTGAGGTGGAGGGGCAAGGGGAGAGGAGAAGAGGAGCCAGGTTCAGAGTTTGGGAACCTGAATGAGGAGGTCAAGCCTAGGCAGTGGGGCTTGTGAGCACTGTCGGGTGAGTGCAGAAGCCTAGGGAGCCTGGGGTGGGTGGAGTAGACACGCAAGAGCAGGAGCCAGGGGCGGGGCAGCCGGGAGAGGCCAGGGGAGGACATTGACCTGGGAGTCCCTGCATGCTGGCAGCCCCTGAGGCCATGGGCAGGGGGGCTGTGACCTTTGCCAGGGAGACAGCTGGGGCCCCGCTTCAGGCTGTGGCAGAGTGATCCAATGGTCCCTGCAGCGAATACCACCAAGTGGCCTCGCTGTCAGCCTCGGGGACACTTTCTACTCTCTGAGGATCTTGGGGTGCTGGATAACAAGATCATGAGCCACAGAAAGACAATTCTCCTCTGAGCCAGTGAATGCCTGGCCCTGAAACGTCTGGAAGCCACCCTCTGCTGCCACCAAGTGGCCGTGACGCGCCTGAAAACCAGCAGTTGCGAACCCAGGCCTCCTGCCTCCTCAGGCCCAGTGTGTGTAGCCCGGTTTCTTCCCCAAAGGAAGAAACCCCCAAAGGGCCCCAAAGGGCCAGGCCAGGCTGTCCTTCCTCGCCTGCTCAGCCCTGCTCCCTGCCTTCTCCCCAAGGCCCCACAGCGCAGCAGCCAGCCAGGTGTCTGGAGAAGTTGCCAGTGCCCCCTGCTGGCCCAGCTCCAGCATCAATACCACCCCTGCCACAGGCTTCCTGTGGCCCCCCAGGGCCCAGCCCCGCGGGCCCTCCTCTGGCTGCAGCCGTGCCACATCTCCAAGCACCCTGGCAGGTTTCAGTGAGGCCCTTGTGCCTACTGCCTGTTGTTGGCAACCAGGGCTTCACTGGGCCCTCTGTGTGTCCTCAGCCACCACCAGGCTGGCCAGTCTTTGTGGGGGTCTGCCCAGCCTCCACAGCCTGGCCCTGTCACTGTGGTCTACCACTTGGACTCTCTCTCAGCCACTCGAAAGCTGAGAAGGAGCTGGCCCTCTTCCCCAGGACCCTCTGGCAAGATTCCTTCCTCCGCTCCGTGCTTCAGTTGCTCCCTGGTCCAACAGAGGGACTCGATGGCTCCTGAAGGGAAAGGCCTCTAAGCCTGTCCCCAAGTGTGGCCTTGCTTCACCTCACCAGCACCCTCTCCTTCTGCTCTCCCAGGCTCAGCGGGGTCCAGGACTCACGCCACTGCCCACCATCGTGGGGCCCATTGCCCTCGCTGGACTTCTCTCCCCTGTCCTCTGCTACCACCCATTTTCTCCCAGGGCAGGTTTGAGGTGCTCCCTCTCCAGGCGTAGTGACCATGTTCTCCTCGGGGCGCAGGGCTGCTCTGTTGACATGACCCCATGGCTGGTGTTTAGATGCACTGTCTTTGAATCAAGTGTCTTTGCTACGTGATCCAATACATGCATACCTGTCTCCCAAAGGAGAGCCCAGAAGCTTCTCCTCCCGGGTTACACCTGCACCCCCAGGGTGGCTCCTACAAATACAAGTTCTCAGGGTGATAGGCAGGATCAAAGTGGCCCTGCTTCTGACAGAGGTGGGTGCCATGCAGAGGCCCTGGGGAGACAGAGGGGTACCCCACACCTTACACTCTCCCTCCGGGGCTGGCCATCCTCCAGGCCTGGATCCCTCCAGGCTCTGGGATCTTTCAACAACAAAGTGACTTCCCAGCGTCAAGGCTGTGCCATCTGCCCCACAGACCTCAAGGTCTCCCTCGTCTGGACTCCCCTGGTGGCATCGTCCATATGGAGATATGCTTCTGGGCTCCCTCTCCCACCAGGACCTTTGCTATGAGCTCCCCACGGGATGTCCTGACTGTTGAGTAGCCCCAGCCAAACTCTCAAGCAATAAACGCCCACCCTGTCCCCCAAACCTGTGTCCCCTCAGGCTTCAGCACCACCTCCAGTCCATCAGTCCTGGGCAGATCAGATCCCAAATGTCGACAGTCTCTCTGCCACTGCCACCTTCTCACCTGGTAGAAGGTGGAGCCTGAGCTGGGCCCATAGGCCAAGCAGGAGAGGCCTTCCAGCAGGCAAGACAGAGCCTTTGTGCGGGTGCCAGGGCGAGAGCACCCGGGACAGGGCTCAAGTGTACTACGGAGGGACCGCAGCAACTATGTGTGAAGGAAGGCCACCCCTACCAGTCTGGACAAGCTCGGGCAGAGGGCACAGTTACCAGGGCAGCTCACAGAGAAGGCAGGGACTACCTCGGGCCGCACGGGGTCCTCAATGCCCACGACAGCTATGCAGGTGAGGTCACCCACGACCTCGTTCTCGTTGTCCCAGTCGGGCTCCTGGCCTGCAGAGAAGTCCCGGTAGGCGATGCAGATGGTGCGGAGGCCATCGCAAGCCATCGGCTCAATGATCTTCCTCACCATGTCGTCCCGGTCCCGAGGCCGAAAGCCTCGGAGTTCGCCATTGCTGTTTAAGATGTTGGTGCACCTAGGCAGGGGGTGGGCAGAGATGAGGTGGAGGTGGGGAGAGAACGACAGGAAACAGCTCTGGTAACACTGGATTGGGGGCTTAGCCAAGGACTGGGGTCCTGATCAGAAAGGAGAGCCCCGTGTGAGAACACAGACACACAGGGAGAACGCTGTGTGACAACAGGCAGAGATTAGAGAGGGGCAGCTGCAAGCCGAGGAACACAAGGACTGGCGGCCACCACCAGAAGCTGGAGGAGGCAGGATGTGTCCTGCCTGAGATGTTTTGGAGGGGCTTCAGCCCTGCCCAGGCCCTGATTTGGACTTCTGGCCTCCAGAACTGGGGGAGAATCCATTTCTGTTGCTTGAAGGCACCAGGACACTCATGCACTGCTGCAGGCTGAGAGACCAGGAGAGAGGGAGGCAGGAGTATGCGGCTCATGGCAGCTCCACCAGAGACTTCATGGGACAAGGGGGTGGAACATGGGCAAAAACTGAAGTCTGTGGACAATCGCTATAACCACATTCAGGCAGCCACAGCCTCAGTAGAGCACTCATGACTCCAGGAGTTTCTCAAAAGGGACAGGACTAGGAGGATTCAGGTGGGGAGAGGAGGGAGCAAAGGAGCTGAGGGCCACAGAGGTGGGCGTGGTGGAAGAAGCCAGTGGGGCTGTGAGTGCCAGGTGCTGCCACTCAACAGGAGGCTGGTGATGAAGGAAATTATCATAACAGAAGCTGTGCAGACGGAGGGCCTCCTACGGATGTGGAATCACCCACAGAGTCCTCACACCCCTCCCCAGAGATAAGTATTCTGTGATCTCCATGCTGCCGGGGAAGCTGAGGCATGGGAGTAGGGGGAGTAACTTGCTCATGTATGCACAGCCAGCAGAGTGAAGCTGGGCTGGGCCTTTTATCCTCAGTGCCTCAGTGTCCCCCAGTGCCCACCAAAAAAGCAGCACAGAAAGAGGGCTGAGGCCCCCACACCAGCAGGGATGGCTCCAGGGAGGAGGTGGTCCTGGCCCTGGCGGTGAACGCTGCGCCTGGCAGAGTTCTCGGGAGAGCGCTGTGGGTGGGGAGGTCAGGCAGGGTGCACTTGGTGGTCCAGTCCACTGAATGCAGGAAGGAGGGCTGGGCCTGGGCCTTTGGGGAGCCCTGGGCGTTCTGCAGAGGACCCTGCCCTGAGGGCCCTGGGATGGCAGTCATGAGGAGCCAGGTGGGTGGGGGACAGAGACGCCAAGACCAAGGGTGTGGAGTGCGGGAAGGCTGAGTGGGAGTGGGGAAGCCAGAGCACTTGGAGGTGACGCTGTGCGCTCTCCCTCACTTTGTTCTAATAGCTTTATTGGGATATAATTCACGCACCACACAGTCCACCCATTTAAAGTAGATAATTCAATGGTTTTTAGTATAGTCACAGAGTTGCACAACCATCACCAGTCTCCAATTCCAGAAAATTTGCATCATCTCTAAGAAAATTTTCATCATCTCTAAGCAACAACAAGAAAATAGATCAACTGGACGTCATCACAATTTAAAACATTTGTGCATCTAAGGACACTATCAAGAGAGTGAAGACAGGCCACAGAATGGGACAGAATGTGTAGAAATCGCATAGCTGATAAGGATCTAGGATCTGGAATACATAAAGAACATTATAGCCCACCAATAAAAGGACGAACAACCCAACTCAGCACCAAGCCAAGGGCTGGGACAGACATTTTCCCAAGGAAGACAGGCAAATGGCCACTCAGCACATCAAAAGAGATCAAAACCACCAGGAGATATTGCCTCATACCCACAAGGATGGCCCCCCCCATCAGCACTGACACACCAGAAAATAAGTGCTGTTGAAGATGGGGAGAAGGTGGAACCCTCCTATGTCACTGGTGGGAATGTGAAATGCTGCTGCCCCTGTGGAAAACAGTTTGGTGGACACCACGAGCCAGTCATTTCTCTCCTAGATGTCCACGCAAAAGAATTGAAAACATGGGTTCAAACAAAAACTTGTACATGAATGTTCACAGCAGCGTGACTCGCGACAGCCAAAAGGTGGAAACGACTCACATACTGGTACACAGATGAATGAATGAATGGACCAACAAAATGTGCTTTACCATACAATGGGATATTACTCAGCCTTAGAAAGAATGGAAGTTTGGGCTGGGCGCAGTGGCTCATTCCTGTAATCCTAGCACTTAGGGAGGACGGGATGGGTGGATCGCTTGAGCCCAAGACTTCAAGACCACCCTGGGCAACATGATGAGACCCCAGCTCTACAAACAATTTAAAAATTAGCTGGGCGTGGTGGCATGCACATGTAATCTCAGCTACTCGGAACACTGAGGTAAGAGGATGGCTTGAGCAACAAAACAAAACAAAACAAAACAAAACAAAACAAAACAAAACAAAACAAAACAAAAAAGGAAGGTCTAATACCTGGGTGAAACTGAAAAACTTTACACTAAGGAAAGAAACCAGACACAAAAGGCCACACACTGTATGAGTCCCTTGATAGGAAATGTCCAGACAGGGAAATCCATCCAGACGGGAAGCACATGAGTGGGTGCCAGGTCTGGGGAGGGGAGTGGGGAGGGCTGCTCATGGGTCTGGGGTTTCTTTCCAGGGTGATGGAGGTGTTTTGGAACTGGTTAGTGGTGACGGTTGCATGATATTGTGAATGTGCTTAATGCCATTCAACTGGACACTGTAAGGTGGTTGAAATGGTGAATTTTATGTTTGGCCTCTTTTACCACAACAATAGCATCAGAAACTCTGCACATACCCTGGCACCTCCCTGCTGCTCACTCACTTTTTCAGCAGGATCTCTGAGGCCCCCTTGCTGAAGAGGCGGAAGCCACCGTCGGGCATGCGGATGACTGTGCTCATGGACTTGCGGACCGAGTTGAAGGTGTATACTTTGTAAAGCTTGTCTTCCGGGATCTGCTCGCGCACGGGCTGGAAGTCTCGCTTCAGGTCCAAGACGAAGCCCAGCAGGGCGCACTCCGTCTTATTGCCCACCTGGCGTGGGAGGGCGCCTTCCTTCTCAGGAGGCTGCAAGATGAGGAGGGCTAGCATGGCACTGGGGGCCTGTGACCACCCTCCATGCTGCCCCTGGAGCCCCAGCTCTGTCCCCTTGTGGTCACCATATTGTTAGGGTGTGGGAGGCGGGGAGCAGAGGAAGGTCTGCCTTAGCTACAGGCAGTTTCCCAGCCAGAGCCACCTGTGAGGCCAGGGATGGGCAGGAGGGTAAGCAGCACCCCAGAGACCACTGTGGCTCTGGGCCAAAGTTCTCAAGGGGGGGCCTAATGAGCACCTTGCAACAGCTCACCTGGCACCCTGGCCAGGTCCCTCCGCTGCTCCCACCCCCAGCCCTGCCCGCCCGCTTCTGCCCCAGCTCACTAGTATTTTGGTGGTATAGGCACTGTTGATGGAGATGGCATGGACCAGGAGGTCGAGGATCTTAGGGGTCAGGGCGCTGGGGGCCGGAATCTCTTTGTAGTGGGTGTCCCCTAGGTAGGACTGGACCACGGTCATACGGTTGGTGGTAAGTGTGCCCGTCTTGTCAGAGCAGATGGCTGTGGCATTGCCCATGGTCTCGCAGGCATCCAGGTGGCGCACCAGGTTGTTGTCTTTCATCATTTTCTGCAAAGGGCAAGGGTATGGGCATTTGGCCCAGGTGCTTGTTGGGGTGGGGGAGTGAGAGATGTCAACACAAACACCGCGCGACTCTGTTCTGCTCAGTTAGCTCCACGTGTGGCACTAAGAACACTGGGGACCTCGGTCAGCCCTGAGCCAATAGCAAGGCTATAAGGCATCAGAAACCTCATGCAACGGTGGGGGTGGGATGAGCACCTGGGACCTTCCCTGCCCGAGCCCCCTCTCAGTTACCCACCCACCAGACCTGCAGCTCTCCCACCCCACCACCCCACTCCTGGCTCCCTCCACTCCTCCCACTGCCTCCCAGTGTCCCAGGCCCTCTGCTGATTCCCTGCCTCCCCACTGCCTCCCGGCCCCTCCATCCTACTGCCCACATTGTGCAGATGCTGACCCCTGGGTATTCCACTGCCTGCCTGCTTTCTGGCGCATCTCATGCCCAGGGACTTGAGCTGACAGATCAGCAAAGCTGCCCCCTGGGTCCCTGCTCGGCACCTCCTCTCCTCCCTTGAGCCATACTAAATGTCCTCCAGTTTATACTGCTGCCAAGGCGCCCAATGACTTCTTACCCCAGTTTCCTAGTCTGTAAACAGTATCAACTGTAAGTTTTATGATTACCTTGACAGAGTAAGCTAAGGAGATGGTGACTGCAAGTGGCAGGCCCTCTGGGACAGCCACGACCAGCACAGTGACACCAATGATGAAGAACTTCACGAAGTATTGCACATAGACCGGTGTGCACTCTGCCAGCCATGTCCGGCCTTCCAAAACAAACGTCTCGATCACAAAGTAGAGGACCAGGATGATGACGGTGATGGCGGACATCACCAGCCCTGCCACAGAGGAGGGAGGAGAGGAAAGGGGTTGCCACGGGTGAGGGAAGGAGGGGGACAGGAAGAGAGAAGAAGAGGTATGGGCATGGTCTTGGAGGCATTTGTGAAGGCCTTGTAGATTTGCATTGCGTTTCAGGATAAACAGCGCGGGCTTGGCTCAGCAGGTGAGCTGGTGCCTGTTTGCAAGGGGGTTCTGCGTGGCCTCTTCTGGAGTCCTGCTGGGGTTGGGGAGTGGACTTTGTGGCCTGATGGCACGAGAGGCACCGCTGGGGAGGGCTAGCAAGAGTCTATCCTGCACTGCCCCCGAGAAGTTGGGGTACCAGCCCTGCATGCCCCCAGCTGCTTTATGAGCCTTGAGTAGGGGCACCTCATGGGCAGTGGCTCAGTGTGTGACCTGGGGTGTTCGTTGAGGGTTTGGGATTTATGCTCGCTAGGGAAGGGCTGCACCAGACCCCGATGGCCACTGCCGGCCCTGGCCTGTGCCCCTGGCTGCCTGGCCCACACTTCACCTGCCACATTCCTTCCCACTTGCTCTGCACAGCCTGGGCTCATCTCCAGGAGCCCAGTGTCCTCCACGCCCAGTCGATGGCCTGGGCCCGCCACCTCCTGCTGTCCCTACCTGCTTTCCCGATCTGCACCGCTAGCTTTGTGAGCTTTCCCTGAAGGACAGACTTCTCCTTCTTGGGTGCGTTGGCTTTCTTCTTCTCCCGCTCCTCCATCTCCCCACCCTCCGCGCTCTTCAGGGGCTGCATCTCCATGGCCACTGCGCCGTCCTGCTTCTTAGCTGCACACAGAGGAACCCCATGGCCAAGGTCAGTGCCTGGCTGGGGAGAAGGGGTTACAAGGGGCTTTTGTGGGGTAAGACATGCCACACCATAGAGAGGAGATGGGATTCAGTGGAGCTCTCCTATTTCAAGTCTATCAACTTCCCATCTCTCGCCTCCTAAGCTCAAGCCCTCTTGGGGTGGGTGGGGTGGCTCCAGCACTGTTCTAGGTGGGACAGAGATGGTTCTCTCGGGAGAAGGGAGGACAGACACAGCACAAGGAATTTGGGCACACAGACAGGATGACCAGTCCTGGAATGCCCCAAATAATACCTGAGAGCAGAGGCCTGTGGCCCAAGGAATGTTCCAGAACCCTGAGTTGACTCATCTGCCTACTGCTGTCCGAGCCCCCTCCTACCTCCCTTAGGGAGGCCCAGGAGCCCCATGCACTCTCCTCCCACCAGCCAGCCCTGCGTCTGTTCAGGCTCCATCTGTCCCTCCAGCACCCTCCCCGTCTCTCCCCTGGAGCAGACGGCTCCTCTCCCTTCTTCTCTGGTGGGCCCTGTGCTCCTCATCCTTGCTGCCCTCGACATGGTGGGGGTGTGCCCCCCACTCTGGCTCCCTCCTCTACCCACTCCTCTGCTTCTGTGACTTCCTCATCTCCCTCCCTGCCAAGCTCTGGTCGCACCCACTCCACAGCCCAGAGTAATCCTGGCCACCCCACCTCCCTCTTGTGCCCAGGGACTGACGCAGCGACCTGGGGAGAGCAGACTCGTCTTTCTCCCTCACTACTCTGGTCCCCGATCCACTGGGGCTCTTGGCACTACCGCCATCACCTCTGCCTCCTCCTGCTCCTCCTCACCTGCCAGCCCGAGGCCATTTGCCATGGCTCCTCTTCCGAGTAGCGTCAGGACACAATTGCCCCACGCAGCTGGTCCCCTCTAGCTTTGTGCCCCACCTGCTGCCACCTCCTCAACCCAGGGCTCCAGCCATTGGGCAGTCCCCCAGTGCCCTCCCAAACCCAGCTCCATACTGGGCGTTGCCTGGGTCATCTCTGCCCGTGACCTTCCTGAGGGTCAGGACCTGCCTTGTCCCCCATGGCCTCCCAGCACCTAGAGCTGGCTGCTGCATTGGCCCATATCTCCTCTCCTCCATGGGCCACGGCCAGCCTCCTCCCCCCTCCCCCCACCCTGTCTCTTGCTTCCTGCGTCTCACAGCCAGGCACACGCTGGCCCTAGGGTGTCGGCACCTGCCAGGCGTCTGGGGCTGAGAGGAGAGCCGGGCCTCTGGCCCTCAGAGGACCACTCTGTCTCCCAGGTCCACAGGCTTGGCTGAAAGGAAGCTGGCCTGGGAAACACTGACTGGGACCCAGAACTTCAGGCGAGTCAGCCCTTCTGGGCCTCAGTTTTCTCATCTGGCCAGAGTGGACTCGGGGCGCCCACTCATGCTGGGCTAAGGTCTCCTCTAGGTGGCTGGGCTGAGCTGCCAGCAGTGTCTGTGGCCAGGATGCCCTGTGCAGCCCCAGGGGTGTGCTCTCTCCTCCCTCTGCACTGGGACGGGACTGTGCAGCCCACTCACCTGGTCTCCAAGTGCTGCTCTTGCCATTGAGGCAGGTGACCCTCCCCCCACACTGTGCCCTCCACCAGCCCCACCCCCAGGGCTCCAAGCTAGTGGTACCCAAGCAGCGGCGCCCGTTACCTTTGGTCTGGCTACTCTCCATGGCCCCATCCTGCTGCTTGCCTACAATGGAAGAGGGATGACAGACACGAAGGCTTGAGGACACCGTGTGGCACATACATGCACATGCACAGCACAGCCTGGGGGCCGCGTGGCAGAGGGGGTGGGGAGGAGGGGCCTGATTGCTGGTGACCCTAAGCACTGCCCACCGCAGCACTTTCTTCATGCCCCGTCCTCTCCAGGCTCACCCCGTCACCACTTCCCAGCACACGGTCACCATGAACACTGGCATTCCTGAGCCAGACCTCTGCCCAGGGCTCCCCCTTGGGCTTTAAGCTCAGCCCTACAGTGAACCCCTAAAGCCAGCCTTGGAAAGGCCCTGGGTCACACATAGCTGGCAGTGGGAGGTTCCTGGAAGCTGGAACCTCCCCAGGTCAGGATGTCTGCTCCTTGCAAACCAGCTCAAGGGGTTCACTTAGATGGCCCCTAACCCCTGGAAGCCAGGCAGACAGCACCCAGCTCCCCTTGCCTAGGGATCGGTTTTCCCTGCAGTCACGTCTAGCAGTTAGCTCAGTGTGTGTGTGTGTGTGTGTGTGTGTGTGTGAGCACTGCAACCTCCACCTCCCAGGTTTAAGTGATCCTCCTGCCTCAGCCTCCCAAGTAGCTGGGACTACAAGCACACACCACCACGTCCAGCTAATTTTTGTATTTTTAATAGAGATGGGGTTTCGCCATGTTGGCCAGGCTGGTCTCGAACTCCTGACCTCAAGTGATTCACCCGCCTTGACCTCTCAAAGTGTTGGGATTATAGGCATGAGCCACTGCACCTGGCCCCAGTGTGTGTTTTAAAGGGACAAAGGAATGAGACTCTAGGACTCTGCCGGGTGCTTTTAGGTCATTCATTGGTCAACCCAGGGCTACTGCACAGGAGTGCCAGCCTGAGCACTAGCACCCAGCAGCCCTGGAAGGCCAGGCTGGCCCCAAGTGGCCCTATCCAGGGGCTCAGGTGGTGGCACAGCCACCCCTTCTGAGAGCTGCAGTTAGAGGAACTTCCTGGGGGGCCCCATCTGCACCAGCCCTAGCTCTGGAATCCAACCAACTAGGGCAGGAGGGGCTTGTGGCCAGTCACCCATCCAAAGGCTCATGTCACTGGACATCCAGGGACACAGATGGTGCCAGGTGGCTCCCAGGCAGTTGGGGTTGGGATCTGGGGTCCCCAGGCAGCAGGGAGAGCACCGCTTCTCCCTCAGCCAGGGGTGGGGCATTGATCAGGCCTTCTTTGCCCAGGGTTCCTGTGGGCATAGAGGGCCTTCTTGCAGGGAGGGGAGACCCCCCTGGACACAAGATGGCAGTGTGATGACCGCACAGCACAGCAGGGGAGACAGCAGAGCCTTGGGGCCGTGGCGGCCTGAAGGAAGCATGGACTCCAGACCCAGCCTGCACACAAGCCCTGGGAGGCCTCTGGAGGAGGGAGGCAGGGGGAGGCTTGGGATGAGTATTGCTGAAAGAGGAGGGCTGGGCCCTGCCAGAAGAGGCAGGAGTGGGGGGAAGGTGAGGAGGGGAAGCACACTTGGAGAAAGGTGCTTAGGAGTCAAGGTCAAGAGACAAGAAATAGGGGGTTGGGTGCAGGTAGAAGGCAAGTATCCTAGGCATGTACTGGGCAGGCTGCACCAAACAATGGGGATGGGGCGGGAGAGACGGGGAGGGTGAGCAGGGAGCCCCCTGGTCTTGCTGCTACCCTTTCCCCAACTGGTCAGCTGCTGCTCTCCCTCCAGGGACCCCTCAGGTTTCCCTTCCTCCAGGAAGCCCTCTAGCTCTGACTCCTAAGTAACACAGCCTGAGGGTGCTGGAGAGGAGGGGCAGGTGGGGCCTGGGAGGGGCTAAGTAGTCTTGTCAATTTCAAAAAAAAAAAGGAGAGGCCTGGAACAGTTAGGGAGGACACTCTCATTTAAGGTACAGAGAAGGTGAGCAGCCTGGGAAGGGTGGCTGGAGACTCCAGAGGAGCGTGGGTTCCTGTGGACGATGGGAGAGGGCAATGTGTGCAAGGCATGAGGAGGCAGCCCAGGCAGGGGCAGCTGGGCTTCCCAGGACAGAGGCCTAGGGACTCCAGCCCAGCCCAGATGAGGCTCAGGGCCGCCCATTTGCCTGTGCACCCCCAGGGCACTCACTGGGGTGACACTGCACTGAGCCCTACAGGACTTGGTGCCACAAAGAAGAGCCGGTACAGGGAGACACAGGCCCAGGCTGCCAGAAGGCAGGGCTCGTGGAAGCTTCCAGGCCACAGCGGGTCATCCAGGTACTCCCTTGCTGCCTCCTGGGGTCAGGGCTGACTTTTCCCCCGGGCCCTGACTGCCTGCCCCACGTCCCCACGCCCCGCGCACTGGCCCCAGGGCCCTGGCTGGAGGTCCCTGGCAGGAAACAGAGCTTTCCCATGTGGGTGCAGCTCCCTACTGTGGTTTCGCTGCAGGAGTGGCCAGAAGGCAAGCCCAGGCCAGACCAAGGCCGCCCAGTCAGAAGGAGCTGTGACAGCAATTTGATCTTGTCCATCAGGGCCTCTCTGAATAGTCCTCAGGTTAGAGGGTCTGAGGACTCTACCCACTGCAGGGCCTGATGGTGACAGCTCCAGCTACACGGCAAGGAATGGGCCCTCCTGGCTCAGGCTTGCCTAGCTTTGTAAGCTCCAGGGCAGGGCCACCACCCACAGGTGGGCTGCCCTGCCCTCACCTGTCCCAGCCTCCTCTGACCTCTGACCCCCACTTCCCTGGCTGCCTCGTGGCCCCTGTCCCTCTGACCCCATTCCTGCCTAGGTAAGTATGGGATCCCGAAGCCTTTGGGGATGGTGGTCTCAGGGAAGCTCCCTGTCCACAGCCCTGGAGGGGCTCTTGGCCTGCCGGCCCTTAGGGGGAAAATCCTCAGAAGAGAAGTCTCCAAGGAGAATCAAAAGAGAGGGCCCGGCCTCCCACCCACTTGGGCTGGCTCTCCCTGAGCCCCCAGTGGCACCAGCCCGCAAAGAGAGAATGGGCTGCATGGAAGGAGCTCCCACCAGCGCCAGGGACTGGCGGCACTGCTGCGCTACCTTTCTTATCTTTCTTCTCTTCCTCCTCTCCACCAGCTCCAAGCAGCGTGAAGATGATGCCTGTCTGTGAGTTCACACCAACGGCGGTCACCACCATTCTTCCAGAACCTTCCATGACATGAGTGCCTGGAACAGCAACACAGAGACTGAGACAGGAATTTGCACCACCCAGTGGGAGACATAGTCAGTGCCCACAACTTGTCTCCCGGGGTCTCCCAGAAGCAGGGACGCGGCGTCCAGGCCGCTAGAGGCTGTGTCCACCTTAAAACTAGGCTGAAGCCTCCTCCCTGGCTTGGAGGGGACCCCGAGGCCCACAGGGCCCACTTAGGGCCTCCAGCCTTCCTGTCCCGTTTCACACTACGTTTCCAACTGGGATAAACACTGGGCTACGTTGAAACCTTCCAGAAAGGGAACACTAGCCCCACTGGATATTGTCGAGGGGCTGGATTTGGGAGAAGCACAGTGCTGTGCTGACCCCCGGAAGCCTCTCTGCTTGGGGCTTCCCATTCAGGACACAAAGCACTCTCCTGGGCCTGGAGGGCCAACTGCCTCGCCCTGTGGCTGGAGCTGCCACGATCAGGCCTCATGGTGGACGGAGTCCTCAGAGTCCCAACCTGATGGTTATGCTGGAAGGCCCTGGTGGACATTATCCTGTCCAGGCTGCCTGCTGGGCTACATGGCTGCTGACGCCCCTTGGTGCCAGGCTGGCCAGGAGGGTGGCCCTCACCTGAGAGCAGCATGGGATCTTTGTCAGCTGACTTGCGCACATGGTCAGACTCGCCCGTCAGGGAGCTCTCGTCGATCTTGAGGTCATTGGCCTGGATGAGCACGCCGTCGGCTGGCAGCAAGTCGCCTAGAACACCGGGAAGCAGAGGCCTTTCTCCCCACCACCTCCTCCCAGCTGCCCCAGGGGAGGTCCCGTCAGGTGCCGTGGGCCGCCTGGGAAAGGGACTTGGGAGCCCTCCTCCTTCTGGGGAACGAGGACATTTGCATCCTTTGTAGGGGGGAAGCCCTCCACAGAGGCTGTGGGGACAGCTGATTCCTGGGGGGGCCTGCTGTGTCTGAAACTCTCCCACTCTGCCCTGCCCGGTGCTCCCCCCACCTCCCCCACCTCCGGCCTCCTGCAGGTGACGGCACCCATGCCGCCGGGGAGAACCTGTGCTGGGGGTCTCCTCTGGCCCACCCTCCCCAGAAGCAGGAGCCGAGCTTCCTTGACAGGGTAGGTGAAGACCAGGGCACTCACCGTACTTGACCTGGGCAATGTCCCCCACCACCAGCGCAGCCACGGGGACCTGGAGGAGCTGCCCGTTCCGGATGACCGTGAACTTCTGCTCCTGCTCAATTCGGCTCTGCAGGCCTCGAAACTGCTTCTCCTTGCTCCAGTCATTGAAGGCTGTGACCAGCACCACACAGATGACAGACAGCAGGATGGCAGCCCCCTCTATCCAGCCAGCCTCGGCCTCACCCTCATCTTCTGTGCCTCCTGACACATTCCCGCAGGCTGTGCCAAGGACAAAAGGGAAGCAGTGGAGGAGACATCACCATCCTGTGACCCTCTCTCATCTCAAGCCCCATTCCTCCCCCTCCTTCCAGCCCAGGCCCCCGGGCTTTACCTTCACTCTCCTCTCCCGGCGGCGCATAGAACGAGAGGCCCAGAGAGACGATGGCAGCCACCTCCAGGATGATGAGGGTCACGTCCTGCAGGGCCTCCCACACCAGCTGCAGGAAGGTCTTGGGTTGTTTGGGGGGGATGAAGTTCTGCCCGTAGATCTGCCTGCGCTTCTCCAGGTCATTGGTGTTGTCCGCCAGGCCTGCGTGGTGCCCGGGAAGCACAGAAGGAGAGGATGGGATGGGACGGGCTGGCCTTGTGTGTCCCAGGCCTCCTACGTGGCCCTGCTTGACTGCTCCTTGGGTGGCAGCAGCCCTCTGGGGCCGTCTGGCCAGCGCCTGGCTCTCCCTCTAGACAGGAGCCTTTCTGCAGACCGCTGGGGGTGTGCACGTGGGAGTGAGCACGCGGCCCTCTGGCTGCTGTCACGGGGAGTCCCTAGCCATCCTCCTCCTGACACACAGATGGCAAAACAGGCCAGGAGGCTCCCGGACTCCAGCAGGTCCCAGGTCCCTGTGCTATCCTGGCCACCTCCATACTACCGCTGAGGGGGCACGGAAGGCAGGGGACAGGACCCAACAAGGGGGCACAGAGGGGACCCAGTAGGGTATTGCCAGGTACAGCCAAGGGTTGCTAGGAGACAGGACAGAAGAGAACAGCCAACCGTCCCCTGGGGAGGAGAGCAAGTGTCCAGGGCACTTTAGTGGAGACATGGGGAGGGCCACCAATCAGGGGAGGCAGGGATGGCACCAGATGCCAAAGACTAGGCCAAGGCTCTGTGCCTGTCAGGAAACACCTCTCTTGCTCCTAGCCTATGAATTCCCTGAGCAGGCTTGTCACCAACACCCCGCTCCCCAGCTCTGTAAGATAGGGCCAGCCGGTCCCAAAGACTGGCAGTGTCACACACCCCAACATGTGAGGATAGGAACAGCCTGCAAAGAGGGTGGGCAGGGCCCGAGGGACTGGGGCATGAGCATGGCCAGTGACAAGGGATCGGGAGTCTCCAGGGTGCCTGCGACTGCTGGCGACAGGGAATGGAGGCCTACTTTCCAGAAGTTTCTCAGGGAAGAAGCAGTGGGGAGGGAGCATGAGAGTTAGTGGGAGATGCAAGTTCTTGGGTCCAGAGACCCAAAGAGGAAGAATGGTGTCGCGTGAGGAAAGAGAGGCATGGGAGTGGGTTCCCGGTGGGGAACAGGCAGGGAGAAGCCAAACCGGAGTCACGGTGCTGAGGGAGGAGACTGGGAAGTCTTCAAGCCTTTTCTGGGCTGCATGGCCTCGCAGGGGTCAGGGAGACACTGTCCACCCTGGGCTGCTCATCAGCTGCTCTCTGCAGGGCGCAGACAAGGCGACTGAGGCTGGAGGTGGAGAGGGCCCTGTAACCATGAGTCAGAGCTCTGGCCTGTGGCCCAGGTCAGGACAGAACCTACGCTGCCCGACAGGACCCGGCGAGCACAGGGCCCTCGGGACCCAGCCACCTTGGTTCTAATGTAGCTCCAGCGCCAACTTTGAGCCCTCAGCCAGGGCTCACAGCTCGTCTACATGGCGACTTGAATGACACCCAGAGCCACTCAGAAGCCCCAAATGGACTTTGCCTTCACAATCAGAGCCACTTGTCCCTATCCAATTCTGTCACTTGTCATCCTTGAGGATGCTCACTTCTCAGTCTTCCTTGGCCTGAAGGTACTGGAAACTTACATGTGTGACTGGCATCCAGGCCTGGACACCCACTCAACCACTTTCTACCAGGGTAGGCATGTGGCATGACACCATCCTCTGGCCTCACCCTTGGCCCCAGGATTCTCAGCCCCCGCTGATGCGGAGGAGCCCTCCCGGGGGCTCACCCGGCGCCCAGTGCTGTGGCGGCCATGACCAGACCCACACTGACACCTAGTGGACAGAAAGCAGCTTGCAGCTCCCAGCCCTGGGCAGCTGGGCTTACGCCTGCCATCTGCTGCAGGGACCGGATGACCAGAGAGCCCAGCCCCAGCCCATGGGGCACTCACAGTGGGTCTGGGAAGGCACACAAGACTCCCCAGACGACTGGAGAACAGGCACATGCTAACCTTGGGGCTTCTGAGGAGGGATAGGGGTAGGGGTAGCCCTGGCCGCAGTGGAACAGAAGCTGTCGCCTGCAAAGCCACAGCTCATTCGCCCCAGCTGGGTGATGGCCACATGGCATCCTCCCCACCCAGAAGAGCCGCAGCTGTCCCTGCCTCTCTCCCCGTGGATCAGGTTTCTTCAGGAGCCAAAGGCCTCTTGCTGAGGCCTGAGCCTGCCCCAATCGGGAGCCTGGGGGTAACTCATGACCTCATTTCCTGGGTGGTGGGGAGGGGGCTGGGGACCAGGGACCCAACTGAGGGGTGTGCATCTCGCTCCGGACTGGGACTATCTCCTGGAATTACAGGAGCTAAGCCAGGTGGAGACAGTACTAGGGAGTACAAGACCCCCCAAGTGACTTGAGAGCAAGCACATACTAATCGCGGGGCTTCTGGGGTGGGAGAGGGACGGAGGAGGCTCCCCAAACACCTGGGGTCTCCACTGCCCTTAGCCTGGAGCCTCCATGCAAGTCTACCTCCTGCCTGCCTCACCTCACATGCCCAATTTGTCCCTGAGAGCAGACGGGACCCCTGGCCCATTCCCCAGGAACTCCCTCACCCTAATCAGCCTCTCCCTTGGCCTTGATCTGCCCTTGCAGCTGCAGCCTTGCTCGTTTCTCCTTGGCCTACACAGGCAGCTGCCCTTGGCCTGGCCCTGTGGCCTTAGCCTTCCTGTGGGCTCGGGGTCCTGATGGCTGCCCCACCACAGCACCCATTGACAGGGAAGAGGAACACATGCTTCCCCAGCAGGCCCGAGGGCAGTCCAGGTCCAGGGCATGGGGGCAGGGCTGGCCAGTTGGCATGGACACAGATGGGCTGCCTGACTGGAGCAGAGGCCAGATGCCATCGGAATTGGATTAGGAGCATATCGTGTCGGCTCCCAGCTAATCCGCCCCTCCTTTCCAGTACTGCCTGTGGAGCCCAGAGGGGGACCGGGTGGGGCCAGGTTCCCGGGTGAACCCAACTCTGAGTTCAGCCTGAGACCCAGGTTTCCTGACAACAGCAGCGCGGTTTCCAGGATGGGTTCTGGAATCCTCTTGGAGTGCTCCCAAGGCAGGGAGGGCAGTGGATTGATGAGTGTGCCACCAGAAGATAAAATTCCCTTCCCGTAAGGCACCATGCGCCATAAAACACCTGCCCCACGGGGGAGTGCCTGCCTCCTGGGCAGCCCCAAGTCTGCCCACCTTGTCAGGGGATTGGCATGGGGCTTGGGGCACAATGAAGCCAGCTGCCCCCGTGGCTCAGGCCCTTGTGTCTGAGGAGGACTGAGGGGCGGGCGGGTCTGAGCACCAGGTCTGGGTGCACGGCTGGGCTAGGGGATGCGGGGAGAGAGTCACCCGCTCCTGGCACTGACAGCTCAAGCCCGAGGACCTTGAGGGTTGAAGAGGGGAGGGGCGGGTCCTCTGCTGCTCGTTCTGTGGGCAGCAGATCCAGGCCTGGCCGGCTCCCTGCACTGTGGCCTTGGGGACCCAGGTGCTTGGAAGCCCGTCAGAGGCCAAGCCACCCACCTGTGTGCCTGCCCTTCTCCGTGCCCTGCCTCCACAGGCACGCAAGAACTCCTGAGCTCCATGGCAGAATCGGGCAGGTTCCCAGGAGCCTTGACATTTTAAATATTTAACAAGGCCTGGCAGACAGGGGGAAGAGCAGACAGCTGAGGCCCATCTGCTTCCTTTGATCTGGGAGAGGCCAGAGCCCTTGTGGATAAATGGCCCTCCACCCAGCCTCCTCGGGGGCTGGGCAAGGAGGAGGGAAGGCAAGAGATGCTCGGGAGTGGAGCCAAAGACATCGGCCCCAGCAGCAGCTGCACTGCGAGGGTGTGTGCGGCGGCGAGGCAGGATGTCATAGGCGCATCAGCTCCAGGGAACAAAGCTAGGGAGACCCAGGTAGACCCCAGAGTTCCTGACCTGGCCCGCAGCCCCCGTCCTCCATCTCCACTCCTCCCTGCAGCCTGAGTGCCACCTGCAGACAGATGGGGCCGAGGCCGGAGCCATAGGAGAACAGTCTCTGGGTTGAGGGTGAGGGCAGAGTGGGAGGCTGGAGGTGCCAAGGAGCCTCGCGGCTGGGAGCAGAGGAGATGGTTGGGCCCAGGCGTTGCCCAGACGGGTGGCAGATCAAATCAGCCCGCACTGGCTGGGGCACAGGCCTGGCACTAGGCTGGGATAGCCCCAGCAGCCCTGCCAGGCATGCAGGGCCAGAGAACGCTGTGGCTCCTAGAATCTGGGGCTGGGCCTGGCTCCTGGGGGTCCCCGCTTCATGGCAGACCCCAGCAACCAGGGCTGGGCAGGCCTCACAAGGCCGGGTGGAGCATTGCCTCCCACGGGGACAGTCAGGCCTCCACCCCAGATCTTTCTAGACAGTGCTCACCGGGCTTTCTAGAGCCTCCCTCAGCAGTGAGACCGACACTGCCCTGGGCTGGTGCCTCTTTGGGACAGCCTGTGGCCAGTCAGTGCCACCTCTGATCAGCACTCTGGGCCTCCCGTGCCCCAGCTTCAGCCACCCCTTCCCGCCAGAGCCAAATGGCTCTGTGCCATCCCCAGGCCATCCTCTCTCTTCCCAGGAGTGGCCCTGATCACCCGCAACTCCGAAGGCTTGCACCCTGCACCCCTTCCTTCTGTTATGATCTCCCTTAACTGAACACACGGTTGAGCACACCGGAAATCTCCAAATATAGAGATGGGGCTGTCTTCCTCCTCCCCACCCTGCCCTGTTCCTTGGAAGGATTTCTGTTTGGGGCCCATTCCGCCTGTGTGTGCATCCCATGAGGTACCCATCTCCTCCTCCCCAACCTCACTCTATAGAGCAGAGAACTCCTGATTATGGAGGTGCGGGGACGAGGGGGTCAGGTCACACCCCCTTGAGGACCCAGGTTACCCAGGGCATCTCCTCCTCAAGGGAAATGGCTGAGAGGAGGGGCATAGGTGGCCCTTGACCCTGGCCAGCCCTGGGGGTAATGACACCTTCAGGATGCTCCTCTGAAGGCTGGGAGCAGGGCTGGGTGGCGCGCAGCCTGAGAGGGACTTACCCTCTGTGGGTGAGGTCCTCAGCCTCCGGCAGAGCCCGCTGACATCCCCGTAGGCCTCCTCGATCTTCTGCAGTGCCTCGGCCCCTCGCAGCTCCATGAGGGCACGCAGCTCTGCCAGCGTGCACCCAAAGCCTCCAGCGTGGGGGGCATCCCGCTGCTGCTGGGGCTTGGGGTGGAACTCGATGGAACTATTGGCCATGTCGCCCATGCTGCCTGTCAGGCCTTCTCACAAGTGCAATCTTGGCTCAGCCACAGCTGGGGACAGGCGGCCACCTACGGTCCCAGTGCCCAGGCAAGGTTTGGCAGTGGTGAGAAAGCTGCTAAGCGTGGACACCTGGGGAGACAGAGGCGAGAAGAAGCCAGGGGAGTGGTTGAGACACAACTGAGATCCCATCTTCCAGAATATTCTCTGCAAATCTTCACTCAGTCTGTGCCATGACCCTCGAAGTGCAAAAATCACCTCCCAGGCTGGGCCAGTGGCCCTCATGCTCCGCCAGGCCCCACAAGCCAGATCACTCCGGGGTCTTGCCCACCACGGGTATCCAGAAACTGGAGGGCTTGCCCAGGTGGGGAAGGGGAAGTGTCGATGCCTCCTGCCGGGGCCCTGCAGTGGCTAACACTAGCTATAGCTGGAGGCAGAGGCTCTCACTGCCCCCCAAATTCATTTGGGAACCCACGCTGAAGTGAGGGCAGTGTGCTGGGACTGATCAGTGGCTGGTCTTGCCCGTGCCCCACCACCAGTCCTGGGCTTGTCCACTCCGGTTCGCTCCCTGCTCTTGCCTAGTTAAGATGCGCCCTGTGCAGCGGGCATGCTGTGAGTCCCTGGTGGTCTTCTGGTGTGGCCTTAGTGGCTCACGGTTTCTGTGGCCCTGAGATTACCTGGGGGGCCAGGGGTGAGAAAAGGAAGAGGGCTGGAGGAAGGGTGGGAGACAGGGGAGGGGAGAGAGGGACAAGAGGGAAGGGCAAAGAGAGGGGGGGAAAGGGGGATGGAGGGAGGGAGAAGAGGGAGGGGATAAAGGGAGTGGCTGAGGAGGAGAGGAGGAGCGGGCACACCGGAGAAAGCCAAAGCAGCCACAGGTCGCTGGCGAGTCTGCCAATGTCCCGGCCCACAGCATGGTGCCACCCACTCCCCTCCACGTCATTCTTCCCTCCAGGTGACAAAGTAAGGGGCTAAGTTCTCCCCACACTGAAAGCATCAAGGCCACGGCCCTGGCCACACTGCCTTCCCCCTCTGCCAAGCATTGCAAAGTTGTCATCCCTCTCCTTGGCCCCGGGGCAAGGATCCAAGGATCCGCTGGTGCCCAGGCTGCCCCTCCTGCAGCCATTACAGTGTTTGGCGGGGCCCACTGCAGCTCCTGTCTCTCTGCTTCTTCCCAGCCCGAGCTAAGCCTGCCACATCCTCATGGAACTGAAATGGCCTCAGTGTACATGGCCTGGCCTTGACTTCAGCCAAGAGCCCTCCTGGCGGCTCAGCAGGGCCCTGACCCCTCGTCTCTGGGGAAGCTCCTGGCTCAGAAGCATCTGTTGGAAACTAGTGGCCCAGAGCCCTGAAGAAAGGGGAGAAAGCCCTCAGGCAGCCAAAGCAGACATGGCCAAGTCCATGGCCTTATTTTCAGGAGAGGCCCTGGTGGATACTTCATGAAACGTCCATCCACAGTGACCCACGTTTAAAAAGCATGCACACCTGCGTGTTTACTCTCACGACACTTTGCACATGAAGCAGCCTTCACTTCTGGAGATGTGGGGACAAAATGATGGCCATGTGCCTGTGCCATCCTCTCTCCCCACCTCTCCCTGCCCTGTCTTGCAGTTGGTCACCTGACACATATTTACCGAGCAGCTACTGCATGCCTGGCAATGGCTTGATGTGCTGGGACAGGTGCTCAACAAGTCTCAACTAACCCCGTCCCTCTCTAGCTGGGACAGGGAAAACGGCAGGCCCAAGGGCCAAGAGCTGCAGAGTTGCAGCTGGGGCAAAGGTGAGGCAAGGCGCCTGGGGACAGGCCTGGGGGAAAAAGACTGGAAGGAGTGAGAGCCGAGGAGAGGGGCCAGGACAGCAAGCGAAGCTGTCCCAGGTGGGGCGGGCTCCTTCTGGAGGTGCCGTGTGGATGAATCGCCCTTGCTTTTGTGACGTGGGAAACTGAGGCTGGCTTGGGGAAGTGGCAGAGCCAGAGGACAGCTGGGTGTCCCGCTTCTGACCCCTCAAGGCAGCAATGGCAGCTTTCGGCTGTCACCTGGACTCCTCATCTTCTCGAGACAGCCTCCCCTCCCCACCCCAGGACCTTTGCTTGGGACGATGCACCTGCCAGGGCGCCTTCTCCCTGACTCCCTGAGCTCCAGTCACCTCGTGCCTTAACAATCCCACCATGTAGCAACTTGGTGCCACTGTCAGGTTCAGGCTCTGCGCCCCCAGCGGGTGACAGAGTGAATGGCTTGTGTGGTAGGCTCTTGGGTGGCACACAGCCATGACAGAAATGCTTGTTCCTTAGAGCAGGGGTTCCCCGTGGCACGGTCACTGAGGACTGGTGGCCCTCCCCTGGCACGTGCTCATCCTTCCTCCTCTGACCAGGGCATACCCAGGGCCAGCTCTGTCTTCCCCAACCCGGTCCCTGTCCCTGATGCCACAGCAGTGGCCCAGACAGAACCATAGCAGGTCCTACAGCTGCTCCTGACTGGTGCAGCCATGGCTGTGTCTGAGGGGACCCGCAGTGACTCATGGGGAGGGCAGTGGGCAAGGAGGCAGTCCTCCCCTCTGCCATGGTCCTGGGGCCAAGTTCCTTCTCCTCGGCCGGCCCTGCTGGCCCTCCCCACTGCAGGATCCCCATCCCTCAACAAGCAAGCTCCATGTCCTGTGGACCACCTCCTAGGTCTCCCTCCAGTCCAGCAACTCGTGACGACCCTGCTGTGAGTCACCCCTTTTCCTGGTTCAGGCACCATCGCTCCAGTGGGCCCCTGTTTCAGTCTCCCATCCTCATCAAGCAAAAGGCCAGATTCCTTCTGAGCACCTCCCAGCCCCACTCCCGCCCCAGCCGCACAGCCCTGCCAGCTCTGAGCCCTGACCGCACGCCCTCTGTTCCCGCTCCACCTGCTGACCTCCGATGAATCCTCTTAGTCACAATTCAAGTGGAACATTCTCCAGGAGTCTCTGCCAGTTCCCCAGCCAAAACTGATTGCGCCTGAGTCTATAATCCCACGACCCGTTCCTATTTCACTCTGCTTGGCATTGCAATGATCTGTGAGCATGTCTCCCACGAGCTAGGTCCTAAGCTCTTTGAGACACGTGGTATGGAGTCGGCAGGAAGTCTACCACGTGGTCAGTCCCGCATGTGGCCGGGGGCCTGGAGGAATGAGTGAATGGGGGCCTGGCCCACAGAGGAGGAGCTTGGAGTCCTGGGAGGCGGAGTCTCCATCCTGGAGGACAGGGTGGGGTCAGGGTGCTCTGCTAACCCTCATCGTCTTCATGAATGCAATAGGCTATAGGGCAGACAGGATCCATCAGTTAAAGTAAGTCCCGTTTAGAGTGACTGTTGGCTGCTGTAGAGACCAAATGGCATATACTCTGCTTTCCTGGGTTCTATATAAGCCTGGGTGATGGCCTCCCTGAGTCCCAATAAAGACAGCAGTCATCGCCGAAATGGCCAAGAACTGAAGTGACTAGGCCTATCAGTTCTGCAGGCCTGACAGAGTTTCCTGCCTGGGCTGGCTGCCGAGAACGGTCTGTAGGCACCAAAAGGGCAGGGAACATACCATTTCTGTGCTCTTTCATCTTTCTGACCTTAACTGGCTTAATTGAAATGAGAACCTCCACAGAGGGGGCCTCGCACCTTCTGGCATTTGCACCATCCCCGCACAGACTGGCTGGCCTCGTGGTGGGAGACAGCCAGGGGGGTCCCTGGCTGCTTCCTCCAGGGGCTGCTGGAGGGGATGGCCCAAGTCCAGGCCCATTATTCAGCCACCTTCTGGACTCTTCCCTCCAGCAGGGCCCAGACACCCTTGCCTCCCCACTAGGCTCAAACAGAGTGCCTGTTCCCCACCCAGTGACTCAAACCCACCCAACCAGAGACCCAGGGGTCCTCTTTCCCCTGTGTTGTCCCTCCCTGGCTTTGGGGGCTCTCCCAGCACCTCCAGCTTAATCCCCCATGGACTTCCTCCAGACCCCGGACAGCCCAGCATCCTCCAGAAGGCTCGGCACTGTCTAAGTAGGGGGCACCCCCGCTCCCATGGGGCCCCTCTCAGAACCCCATGGCATACACTGAGTTTTGAGCCCACATTTGCATGCCAGCTCTTGACAGACATGTTTCTTTCATTGCACCCTTGGAAACACCCTACAAAGACCAGGAGAACTCTCCCCGCCTTACAGAGGGGGAAACTGAGGCTCAGGAAGGCTCCTGCTCTTGCCCTGGTCTGCCTTCCATGTGACTTGAGGTGGGTCACGGCCGCCCTTGCTGGGGCACTCTGATGGCATCTCTCAAAGCCTCCCCAGCAGGCCCAGGCTGCACTCCACTTGGCCACCTGCTCCGCCTTTATGGAGGAGAGGACAGATGGAGGGCGAGATCCCACCACCGTCCTCCAGATCTCAGGTGATGCACACATTGGGATTCACCCTGTTCTCTTTCCTGAAAACAGCCCCACTGCACCCCAGCCGAGCACCCCTTCAGTTTCTGGGGTCTGTGTGGACATATATCCCCACAGCGATGGTGGGGCATGTACTGCTAGGAAGTCCCAGCTCCCGAGTCACTCCGTAGTCACCGGACCCTCAGTGATGAGAACATGTGGCCCCTGGGGGTTCAGACCATCTGGATGCCAGAGCCAGGCCCAGGATGCTGTGGCCCCGAAGCAAGAAGGAAGCAGAACTCAGGGGCAAAGGGCAGGAGATGGAGGCCTGGGGGCCTACCTGGGCACATGGCCTCCACTGTGGGCCCTCCTGGAGGCAGACTAACTATCACCTGCACCCTCCAGCACAGACCCAGCAAGCAAGGGCCTGCCTTTCAGAAGGGCCCATCACTCAGCGTCATGACTCACTACGGGGATTCCTTAAAACAATAGTCCCCCATCTCTCTCCACCTCTAGGCTCCTAGAACACAGGCCAGGCCCAGCAGAACCCAGGGAGGAAGAGCAAGCCAAGGCAACAGCGAGAGGCGCGGCCCAGGCCTCACTGATCGGGCCCAGGGTGGGCTCCTGGACCAGCTGGGGAGCAGGTGGGGAGAGGGCACGGAAGGAGGGCGTCCAGTCTGGCAGCCACCCTGCCCTCTCCTGGGCCTGGCATGATCCTAGGCAGGTCGAGATGCTGGTGGCTGGTGTGCACCTGGGAGGCCCTTTTATCCCTGATTCCTC